TGTTTTCGAATTGTGATTTACCCGCGCTGCATCGCGCGGGTACACCACTAGTACATATATATACACAGTCCCCATATAAAACAATTTGAAATAACAGTAGCATTCTATGCATATATATATATATATACACACACACACACACAATCCTCATATACAACAATTTGAAAATAACATTAGCATTCTATATATATATATATATACACACAGTCCCCATATAAGCAGAAGTAGAAGCAGTTCATATATACAGAAGCATTTATGTTGAATCCCAGATCTCTCAATATAACATGAAGATTTATGTTAATGCACCTAAATCTATCGTATACATGAAGAATAGTGAAGGACATCTTGTATGATATTCAAAAGAATATAAAGCTTTCAATAAATTTCACTATAGTAATTATAACCAGAAGGATTACTTATTTTACAAGACATATGAAAGCTATTTATACTAGCAATCTAGTCTAAGAGATAACAATCTAGTAAAAGATATCTATGAGATAAACAAGGAAAATATATCTATCTAGAAATAAGGAGTTATCTCTAACTACCTTGTGTAACATAATTCCAGTTGTCGATGAGTCATCTCCAGCTGTCTTAAGGTAGTATGTTCAACCAGGATTCTTCATGTTTCTGCTTCACTTGAGTATATCTGATTGAACACTTGAAGATTCTCTTAGATGCTCTAAACCAGAGGAGTAATGGAGATGCCTGTTCATCGCACCTCTAGACACTTTATTGTATCTCTGGTTTGCCTTCAAGCACTTAGAATGTTTTCCAGCTTTTCTTCCATCGGTCCTTCGGACTTCCATACTTGTGCATTTTTCATTACTTTTATAGTAAGAATTATGGGGTCTAACAATCCCCCCTGAAGTAATGAAAAATAAACAATAGCTATCTATGAAACATAAATGAATAGCAATGTACATAAGATTAAGCTAGTAGAAACATCCATTTGTCAAAAGATTTCATTTTCTGAAAATTGAATTGTTTCATACAATATGGAAGTAAATAAGGGAAAAGAAAAGTTACATCTCAATCATGGTTTCCATTGAATATTCTCCAAAAGCGCATCATCAGTCCTCTATAGCGGATGACAGTGGAGATCCCATGAATAAGCTCCTGTCCCTCTCTCCTCGACACATGCTCTCTGCCCAGTCTTTCTTGAATAACCTTCTGAAACCATTCACGCGTATCTGTCAAATACATGAAGGCCTCAGTTAGTCTGAAGAATTTCTTGATTCCGAACTCATTCTTGAAGATCAAGCCCAGTTCTGGTTGATTCAAGACTGATGCATAGCGTTTCTCCTGTAGTCCAGGAAAGTCTTCTTTTGGAGTCGTGCAGGAGAGTCTATCGATGCCCAGTTCCAGCGCAATCTGGAAATCATTCTTCACTCTGAACTTTACCAGAGTCCCCATCGTCTCTATGATTGCTTGCTGCGCCATACCATACCTTATCCTATGATCCTGACGCTGAGTGGTATGCCCATACAAGTCTATCAAGTCCCATGAATTGAGATTTATAAGATCATTATCATTGAAGACGTAGATCATCCCATGAGCACGTTCCATGGTGTACTCGATGTACTTGATGGATTTATTTGCAAAGGTCCGCAGCTTGATGTCATGGACCGTCTTTATTCCATCGTTTGAGAAGATGACTTGTGGCGGTTGAGTCGTCTGCCTCACGAACCTATGCCTGAGCAAGTCCATGGATTTTAGAGATAGGTTTGGGGGATTAAGGACTATCTGCTCATCATGATCGTGGTAGAGATACTGATGGATCTTCTCCATCATGATGGGTTCTCTTGGGGGCACCTCTGGACGTCTTCTCAAGGTCTCCATCTGTACAATGACGTCCTGCACTCTATCGATTGATGGTGGCTGCCTTGAAGAGGAGGGAATGTCTGCAAGCACTGTTGATTGTGTAGGTTGGGTTGTGGGTGGTTCTGGTTGGGTAGGTGATGGTTCTATTTGGAGAAGTGTAGGTTCTGGTTGGGGAAGTGTGGGTTCTGGTTGGCTTATTTCTGGTTAGGTGATAGTGGGTTCTAGTGTTGGTGTTGGTGATGGAGTGAAGGGAATTGGTACTTCTGGTTGTATAGGAGTTTGTGAGGTTGAAGGTTGTTATTGAGGAGGTGATGAAGAGCTCACCAAAATTGGTGAGGATTCATCGGTTGGAGGTGATGGGTTGGTTGAAGATGGATCGGATGGGTGTAGAGGTACCTTGGATAAAGGTATGGCTTGGGTTACTGGGGTAACAGTGCCTGGGAAGGGTGAGATGTCAATGCAACACAAATAATTGAAGGAAACTGTAAATTTTGTACATTATGTACATCATCAGAGGGCTGAGCCTCTGGTTCCCTCGCCTCTGTACCAACCGATTGTTGTTGAGTTGGTGGAGGTGGTGTTGTAGTGGTTTCCATCGGGGTGCTAGATGGATTCTCCCCCTCATGAGGACCGAGACCATGGTCATCTGGGTCTTGGTCATCATGCCTTGTCCTCTTGGAAGGCCGACTTGCAAAACAAGAAGTAGGACGCCTCTTCTTTATTTTCAACCAGGCAGCGTATAACTATAGGGCCATCCTTTTCTGTCGGCCTCTATACGCTAGATGAGTTGATTGGTTCGCTCTTGTTGCTGAGCGAGCCTCTTTTGGAGTGAGGCAACGGGTTCAGCTGCCTTGGTTACAAACTTGGCATTAATCTCATTGAATTTTGAGACTAATGCCTTGGTAAGGGATCGTAGGTCAGCATGGGTAACTATGTCTTGGGTGGTGGTGGGGGGTGGTATGGAGACGGAAGAGATAAGGTCTCGTACCTCTGTAACGAAGGAAGTGAAGACTTCATTTAGGATAGGTGCTGCAGAGGTAGAGGGGGTTGTTTGTGGTGGTATGGTGGTTTGTATGGTGGTGGGAAGAGAGGCGCTGGGTGTGGCGATGGATGATATTTGGGTTGAGAGGGTGGTTATCGATGCATCAGTGGCAATGATTTGGGCTGAAAGGGAGGCAAGTGATGCATCAATAAAATCATGTCTGGTGACCATAAGGTTGTGATGGTAATTGTGTTGCTGGGTCACCAAACGCTGAAGGGATTGAAGGCGGGTGGTATTCTCCTTCGATTGAATCTCAAGGGAGGTGATGGATTGCTGAATGAAGGTAAGGTCGTGGGTAGGGGTGAATTTAGCAACCCTCGCAATGCTGAGTTTAAGGTCATCCAAGGACCGCTGAATAGAATCAACAAAGGCCTGCAACTTGGCCTTTGTGACCAACTCAGCTAAGGGGGTAACCCCTACAGCAACAGATGCTGTAGGTTGAGCCTCTATCTCTGAGGCGCCTCCATCAATGCCTGTAGGAATGTTAGGCAAGGGAGGACTTCCATTCCGTCCTTGATAGCCCTCTAAAGAGGAACTACCTCGGGATGTTCCAATAGGTGCTTCATTTTCATCGGATTCAGTGTCCGGTGAAGAGAAGTACATATGTTTCCCCATCGATAGACCAAATATCAAGGGGGTGCGTGCATGAATTGGAGATCGCTCTGAACGATCTATGGGAAATTCAAAGCCGAAAGTAACAAATGCTTCTAAGTGTGTGGAGAGAGTTGGGCCCTGAGGAGAAGGGGACCTTATTTCTTCATCACCTCTCTGTTGGGAGAGAGGCGATAGATGGTGGGGTTCCTCAGATTCATCATATGCAGAGACCCGAATAGTGGCCTCTAGATGGCTAGATTGGGGTGTGTTTGAACTGCACAGTTCTTCTTCAATATCCCTTTGGCCTTAGACGCAAGGGATAACAGATGTGGTGGCCCGGGGAGGTGGTGGAGAAGATGCAACATTGGTGGGAATAGGGTCGGGGGATATAGGAGGACTGTCATCATCATCAAACTCATCATCTGACTGAGTCCTCTTGCCATGAGATCCCTCGCTGGTCTCTAGGGTAGGCTCTATGTGCTCTGGGGTAGATGGTCGCGGTTGTTGGACTAACAAAGAGCTTTCGTATGTCCTACGGCTGGTGGAGGTATCAGGTATTATACTTAGCACGACCTTTAAAAGAGGCCTCTCTGCGGGATATCCATCCCTTGAATTTGTGGGGCGATAACGATTCATTACAAACTGAGGAGTGAATGGTCCATCACTGACAGGTCATAAACTTTCATCGCATCCTTGATAAAAAAGGCAAAGAAGCGAGGAAAGAAAACAGAGGTGACCGGCTTCCCTGTGGCCATCAGTTTATTCTTCTTTACCACAGCGGCGTGGATTTCATGGTAGATCAGAAGCGCATAGTCGAGTGGTAGGTTAAAGATTAGACCATACATGATGGTCATGATATTGATGTTCCCTTGATCCATGCTTCCCAGCTTGCAAGTAAGAGCACGGTTCAGAATGCTGAAAAAGACATTCCACATTGGTGGAAGGTATTGTCTCTTGAAGTCTGAGGCATTTCGAAGCTCTCAGTTGTAACCCAATACCTGTTGGAACCCAGATACTCTTAATTCTCAGAAAATCACAGTTGTAAAGAATAAAAATGAAGTATAAACAGTGAATTGAGTATGATCAAACGATATATTCAAAATATATATAAGAACAATAAAGGACTTGAATTTGTCGAATGCTTTTATTAGATGAAAGTAAAGAACAATCAATCTAAACGTATTCTCACAATAAAAAGGTATAGTATAAGTCGGCACTCTCAGGTAATTGAACCTAAAGAGGAAGCCTTGTTATATACGCCTAGGTCAAACAACTATACTATAATTAAGTCTTGAATCTCTGAGTTGCTGAGTCCGCGTCCTTATCTTTGACTTCCCTTGAAAAGTGGAGCAGACTAAGTCAAGCCGCCTTGATTCTGTTTGACGCTTGCAAGAATGTCTGGACTTGCACGCGCGTTCCATGGAGAAGGAGACCAGAAGCTCTGTATGTACTATGCAAAGGTTCTGTATATGCAGAGGCTCTGTATGTACTATGCAGAGGCTCTGTATGTACTATGCAGAGGCTCTGTATGTACTATGCAGAGGCTCTGTGTCTGGAGTTGTAGCTTTGCATCAAGCGCTTATGCTTTTTGGTGCATAAGGCTTGATCGTCCATGGAGAATGAGCGCAGGATCTGTATGTAGGGAACCTTCACTCTTTGAGTAAGAGCTCTGGTTCTTGACCTCTTCTGCATGAGAGCTCTTAGTCCAAACTGCTTCTATAGACTAAGTCCTATTGACTAGAGTAAGAGACTTCTTACTTACACTTTCACAAGTTGGGGTCTAACAATATCTGAATGAAGCGTAAGATATCATGACTGGTTGGCGGGTCCTCGTACCGGGCAATCCCGAGTCTTGGCGGGTAGGGATAAAGATCACCTTGAAAATCTTGGCGCGAGAAATTTTGATAGAGCACACCATGTCATTAGGGGCATCAATGTCGCGTATAATGCCACGGTTTTCAGGAAAGTAGTCGCAGGTGTTCTAGTATTGTTGAACGTACCTCACTGGAACTTCGTTGTCAGAAAGAGTGAGGGCCGACTGTAGAATCCAGTTTTGAAAGAACTCTACCAGGATGGCAAATTTGTCCTAAAAAAGTTAAGGACGAAGGTCAATGCTGTAGTTGTTTGGATTGATTGGGAGGAA